CACGCACGCTTCCAGCAGATGGTCTCGGCTTGACACAAAAGGTTCAAGCATTAATAGGCAAGTAACACTTTTCCAAAGTTAGAAAATTTCTGTAAAACCAACACGTTTTGAACTTTGGATGTTTACTGTTGAATAGACTGAAAAATGACTTTCCACTTAGAGAAAATAAAGCCAAACCACCGATGTGCTCATGGCTCTCATGCAGTGAGTTTGTACACAAAAGTGTTGTTGATGTGCAAGCGAATATTTCATATTGGAGTTGGTGGTGGCTTCAGTGGGATTGTTTTCCTACAGTTCCTTTTGAGCTTCTACAGATTCCAAGATGTAGTCACATCCAAACAGCAAAGTCGTTTGATTAAAATTGTAATTAAGACAGATTAAGAGTAGATACTGTATTTTTTTATTTATTTTAAAAAAAWTTGGGGGGGTGCATCCTTTTAGAAGGTGATCTTTGACCTAAGATGGTCAAAGGTTTTCTCTTGCTAGTTTTTCTAATGTGGGCGCATCTCCTGCGTTAGTTTTACGGCACCTGGTATTCCCATCCAAGTATTAACCAGGCCCGACCCGCTTAGCTTCTGAGATCATCTTCCCGTGGCTTAAATATAATTTGCAATATTTTTATAGGTATTTTAGTAACTAAGTACATTTAATTTGTTACAGTACTTAAGTAATTTTTTTGAGGAAAAGTACTTTTTTAAATCGTTACTTTTACTTTTATTTTGTTACATTTAAAACCTAAAATTGATACTTTTACTTCTTTACTTTAAAATTTCACACCTAGTTACTCGTTACAACAGAGCCGGCTCTTGGCATAGGCGAACTAGGTGGTCGCCTAGAGCGCCATCTGCTGGAGGGGGCGCTGAACTGCAGACGAAAAAAAAGTTTTTATTTGTAATCCCTGTTTGTAACTCTGCTCAGCACCTCTTTCAATTAGCTTTGTCTTAAAAACTATAATGAAGTATTACAGGAAAAATAAACTACTCCTACTACTAATCCTGCTGACATCCATTCTGACAGTGAGGACTGAGTTTTCAGCCGAGGACCTTATGAGGTAAAATCAGACTTGTATTTTCCAAAAAGAGAGGACCTTCTAAATCTTTGCAGTAATTGTGAACAAGGTCTTTTGTTTTCCCTTGTATCTAAATTTAACTATATTTACTTTATATATTCATTTAATTTGTTGTGTGATGTATGTTTGTGTTTAAAGCAAATAAATCTAAACAACTGGTGGTGGTGGTGGGGGGTTGCGCTTCAACTTGCCTAGGGCACCAAAATGGCTAGAGCCAGCACTGCGTTACAAAATTAAATATGTCCAAACTCATCATGCGTTCTCTAAAAAATGAAATGTTGAATTTACTCAACCAAGTCATGTCAGCTGGTTTTACKAAACCTAGTAGAGTAAATATAAGGCAGGAATATTTTCTCCACTTGGTTTAGTAGAACCAGTTAAGTAAATTCTTCAGTTTATTTCTTAGAGAGTGTGTAAAAGTACTTTTACTTTTATTACTCAATTTTAATGAACAGTTTTATGACTTAAGTACTTTTCTCATCCGTGAAGTTATTTTTTTTTACCAAAGACATTTTCTGTTAAGCTATTTTTACTTTTACTTGCTTCTTACTTTCACACACACACACACACACACACACACACACACACACACACCTACCTTTAGCCCCCCGCAGGACGAAGCCGAAGCCTTCGTTCTCCTTCTTCTGCAGAACCACGGTCTTCTCGTCCACCACGCAGTCACTGTGGAGGAGGCGAGCAGAGCGCCCGTTAGCACAGCCCATCATCCGCAGCATGGCCACCGAGGCCCGGGCAGAGTGGAGGTTCATGCTGCCGGGGCAGGGCAGGGCAGGGCGACC